GATGGGGTCAGAAACTCATTTTCGAGCTCTGTTAGCAACTCTTGCGCACTCTGAGGGGCTTGCTTCCGAGCTTGGAAGTTCTCAATCTTGCCATCCTCTTCGTCTGCGAGACGAGCATCGAAGGTCGCGGGATCGAAGTGTCTGCCTTCTAGGTCTAGCTCCTTCATTGTGGAATCGAGCGAGTCGGCCATGGTGTTAGGCAATGTATCGGAGAGATCAGTAAAATTATGTCGATGTTTGACTCGGCAGTAGCCGAACCCCACACCGATATGTGTATGGATTTCAAGTTCTGGCGCAAACACGGGAGGAATTGTTATCCGACGTAAAAAGAACAAATTTAAAGAATGAAATTGATTATGCCGGTGAGTGCGATAGAGTATTTCGAAGTGCCTTCAGGCAACATTATGTAGCAATAGGCTACTTGGGGTAAACCTCGCTGAGAGACACCAAAGGCGGTATAGTCCGGCAGTATCCATGACGTCGATGCCCAGGTGTGGGGTTATCGCATTTAGGGCTATGTGTACTACTACTAATAATTGGCCGCCATGCGGCCTCTGCCTTGAAATAATCTGATCTATTTAGCCGAAGATGATATTACGGGCGTTATATGTCGGATCATACGATGCAGCAATGGCTATGCTCGTGTCAAGTTTCGTTTTGGGCCGCGGGCCGCTGTAACTTCATTGATCAAGACAACTAGCAGCCTTCAGTCAGGCAAAGAGAAGACTACAGGGTGAAGACAAAAAGCAATTTACTTATAATACTGATTCCATTGTTATAGTTAACTAGTTAGTCCTAACTCCAACTCTCCTATTTTTCGACTCATTCTGAGGAAGCACGTAATGAGGTATTTGTTGACATTTTTAAGAACAGCATACAGCTATATTTTTCGAGAACGGCGATCAAAGCTCATTTTCATGGGCGAGTTTTGGGTTGGCATCCGGACGTAGCCGGAAGAAATGGCCTTATCTTTCAATTTGGACAAGATTGTATTGGCAGAAAGTATCAATATATATTTAACTTTTTGTACTTCAATCAGTCATACGAAGAATTGTGAATGAAAGATGCAACAGATAAAAGGGATAGAGATGAAATGATGTACGCCCCTAAGCGCCAGAAGGGTATGTAGTGTGAGAACGATTCCATATGAGAAAAGGATTAGCACGACAAGAATGAGTCCTGACAAGGAGGGCAATGAATCCCTTTGTTGAAGTGAAGACCGTAGATCATCCTTGTTTAGCAGTAGATCCGTCGTTCGGAGAGATTCCGGACCTTTGTGAAATCTGCATGATCATGATCAGAAGAAAAGAAAGAAAAGAAAATGAAAATGACAGAAAAGTAAATGAGACTTGATGATGTTAGATAAATAATTCCCAGTAACGCCAGGCATGGAAATTTAACGGCAAGAGAATTTAGGGAATGTTTTCCGATCATGAATGTTCAGTGAGAATTCAAAAACTCCCTCCAGTGTTGCGATGTACCTGAAAAAAATTAGTTTAAGCCCGCAAGCTTGCTGCATTGCACACTCACAATGTGCGTCCATCAGCGCCCCAGCCAACTCCAGCGGTAGAATCTGGCTCCTCGGCGCCGCAGCCATGCATTGAATTTCGATCAGGGAGGTCATTGATAATGTTTCTGATCCAGCGGGGAGAATGTGTCTGTTCAAATCCGAGAAGCTGTTGGCGATGCCGTTGTTCCCTTTCAAAGGAGCGGTTGTGTACCTCATTAGCAATCTGGCGCTGGCGCCGAAGTCGCTCAGCAGCGACATTGGCACGAATCTCATATGTGGTGAGACGTGAAGTATCATATCTTCTTTCTGCTCCAGTTTGTGGTCGTTCGATGCGCCGGGGAATGGAGCTTGATCGCTGGGGTCGGTGGTTCAAGCCATTCGTATCTAGACTTGGATTAGAAGATCCAGTCGCTTCAGCTGGAATGCTAGTTTCGTTGTTGGCCGTTTCAGGATTGGCACTACCCCGAGAGACCATTTCTGATCTGAGGGGTGTAAGCGCTGAATGCGAGGTGGAATAACTGAGGGTGATGTCTGATTGGCGATCATGGTGAGAGGACGATGCTTCCGAAGGTCGACGACTTCCTTGAGATACCACCACCGAGCTCTGGTGTCTTGGATTGGATACAGTGCGGCCCAAATGGCTATCTCGGGAGACATCAGAAGAATCATAGCGATGCAAGGGCGAAGTAGGACGATGGATGCGAGCGGTACCATCTGTGGAACCGTGATTTTGCGGCCGAGCCACTAGTTGAGGTGGAAGGCCTGCCCTAGCCGGGCGCTCTAGTCGTTCAGTAAGTCCTTCTTCCAGCCGCGATGTCCAGCGTGCCGTGTTCAAAAACTCCATAATCAGCCTTTCTCTCTCACTAAGATCTTGAATCAAAGACTCCCGCAGAGACGAACGCTCCGTTTGCTCTCCATTCCGTTCAATCGGAAAATCTTCGTTCTCGAGTCTCACTCGTGGTGGAGTCTCCAGAATATCGTCTCCTAGCGGGTGTCGTTCGAGGTTCTCTGTCGAAAAGTCCGTGTACACTTCCTGCAATTTTGGATCATTAGAATCTAGATGGAGGATTTGTCTGCGCATAAAATGTTGGCGAACGTCGGCCACACCGGCTCTACCGTGACCCTCCAGCCATACAAGAAGGTCCCATGGCTCGGGCGAAAAGGCCATGCAACGAACGGCACCGCCCTCGGTGCATGATCTTGATGCCGGGAATTGACAAAGAATAGCAGAGTCGTCTTCAGAGTCGCCAAAGTTCTTGTAGATGGACTCGACGTCGATAATCGTGATGATTCCAGATTGAGATCCGATGGCACACAAGCGACTTGACGGGGAGAAAGCGACGGTGAAGCAGCACGCATCATCCGCCCGCAGGCCAATGTTCATCTCCAGGCGATTGATAAGTTCCCATTCCCACCCGGTGAGCTTCTTTCCAGATTCAGTTGTCCCAGAAGATTCCAAATCACGAGTGATTTCATAAAAGTAGGCGTGGTTCTCATCCCCTACTGCCGTGAGCAGTTTAGAGTCCGGGGAGATTGTCGCATAGTTCATACAAGTCGGATGATGAAGGACCGTCAAGACTTTCGCGCGAGTCAACGAATACACCGTGACTGTTCGATCATTATTGCTATTCATCTGAGTTAGCATGATCAACGAAACCACAACCCAACTTTCCGACCAGCGCCCACCTCAGAACCACGATATCTTCATCCGCCAAGTCCTCACTGCCACCATAGAAACGATGGATGGTCACTGAATTGACAATGCTCCCACCGAACCCGTGGAGCTCTACTTCGGGGGATAATCGGCTGCTTCGATAGCGGGTTGAAGCAGATTCGCCATTGAAATCGCCCGGAGCTATGCTTGACGGTGGATCGAGATCGAGTGGGAGCGCACTATCTACATCGGCGTGGAAGGGTATATCGCCATGGACCTGCATTCCGCGATCACCGATGCGAATGAAAGCACATTCGCCATTTTCCGGGCCCCCCACTACTATCCAACCGTACCCGGCAACCAGACAGCGCGGCTCAAATGGGAGTACCGCTACACTCTCGCGCTTTTGTGCCGATATGTGTATTGAATAGACGATTCTCTCGACGACGACATAAATGCGATCGGGATCAGCAGTACTAATGTAGTTGCGAAGCTGTGTGTGACTAAAACAGAGCTCTCTTAGGTTAGGCTGCGCACGGAAGATAAGCGGGTTGATCAACGAACAAGTTGGGGATCTTGAACGGGAAGAAGCGTCGCTTGGTCGGAAGGATGAGAGCCTCGGTTGGGCGATGTCTAAGACAGCCACGTTAGAATTATTCCGGTAGTGAGATGCACCAGGCCCTTACAGCAGCGTAGAATCCGAGGTCATGGTGGATAGAGCTAAGCCAGAGATAACATTGTTTGAGCGGGGAAGTTAGGAAGACAAGAGAAACGGGGCCCCCCGTTGGAGTATGTCAACTTGACAGTTATTTAGGCAGCGGACACCTTGTTTTGTTTCTTCTTAGATAAATTTCCTTTTGGATAGTCTGTGCTCTGCAGTGTTCAGTGTCAAACTGCCCGGTGCTTTCATTGGATGACGTAATACTTGGGACTGGGACAAAAAGCCGGGGAACCGCAAATTCCAACGAATGCGGTTTGATTGTCACCCCGAAACCGGCCTTGACCATTCATGATGATGCATTACACTGTTTATATCTTTTTGCTTACTTTAAAGATCCTATATACTCCATGGTGTATAGTGCATAACATATACATGTTGCCCCCAGTCCGAACGATCTGGGCCAGGCATTGTTTCCCCCCAAAGTACGGAGTACATGAATTGTCATTGACCATCTAGATCCAGGCGGACTTTCAGCTCCATTTCCAATCTTGTCTCAGGTTCAGCCAAATCAACGAAGCGGAGTTTGCCGACTAGGTCACACGACACGTTGAGAGTATGACTGGTTCAGCTACTGGAGATACACGATTGTCGCAAGTGTTGTGAGGAAGCAATGCTTATTGCGACCATTTTGCATGGTGTTTGCACCAGGCCGTATATATGGACCTCGGGAGTTCCTCGGAGCTCTTCAATATTTGCCACACAGCGGAATGATGCCATTGAACTGCCGCTACTCCGTACTACTACTTGAGATATCAGGCAGATTATGCCGCATACATGATTACTATGTGCTCCGTAGGCTCTACTCGCAATACATCCCTATATCCCTACCCTAATATCCCTACATCCTATGCCAATATCCCTATATCCCTATCCCAATCCAATACACCTATGTCATTGTATACCCGCATATACGGCACCAGGCGGTGAGCTCGGTTACCTAGGAGGCCATCGACAACAAGGCCATCTCTGATTGGTCCGATCCCGTGATTCTACCAAGTTCGACGGGCCGAAGGTCTCCGTGCAATTTCTATTTCCTTCTTCCTTTCTCTTCGATTCCATCTCTCTATCTTCATCTCTTCAATCGCATCTTCTGTCCTTTTAATACTTCACGATTGAATCGCTGGAGTTTCTCTTTTTCTCTTTTTATTAATTAATTTATCATCACAATGCTTCCTCGCACAATTACTCGCGCAGTAAGCTTGCCCTTCTTCCCGAACAATCAGCGCGTCACAGGTTACTAACTCAGTCTCTCACAGCTCCCGCGCGCTGCTTTCGCTCGCACTCCTGCCTCCAGACTCCCAGCCTCATTCCGGAGATGGAACTCCACAGAGGGTGGTGAGGAGAAGGTAAAGGGCCAGGTCATTGGTATTGATCTTGGTAAGTACTGGCGCGAGATGAAAATCATCAATGACGACAGTATTCTAACATTTTATTTTCTTAATTATAGGTACCACCAACTCTGCCGTGGCTGTTATGGAGGGCAAGTCCCCTAAGATCATCGAGAACGCTGAAGGTACGTGAGAAGAAATTTCAACTCCGGACAAGTGGTCAGAGCTTCGGAACTCAGACTTGCATCCACCGTGTGATGGGCTTAAATGGAATTAGCAACTAACTCAACTCTTCAACAGGTGCTCGCACTACTCCTTCCGTTGTTGGTTTTGCACAGGATGGTGAGCGCTTGGTCGGTATTGCCGCCAAGCGTCAGGCCGTTGTCAACCCCGAGAACACTCTGTTCGCTACCAAGCGTCTGATTGGTCGCAAGTACACCGATGTCGAGGTTCAGCGTGACATTAAGGAGGTTCCCTACAAGATCGTCCAGCACAGCAACGGTGACGCCTGGGTTGAGGCCCGTGGCCAGAAGTACTCTCCTTCCCAGGTCGGTGGCTTCGTCCTTAACAAGATGAAGGAGACCGCCGAGGCCTACCTCGGCAAGCCCGTTAAGAACGCCGTTGTTACTGTTCCCGCATACTTCAACGACTCTCAGCGTCAGGCTACCAAGGATGCTGGTCAGATTGCCGGCCTGAACGTTCTCCGTGTCGTGAACGAGCCTACCGCTGCTGCCCTTGCCTACGGTATGGAGAAGGAGGCTGACCGTGTTGTCGCTGTCTACGATCTTGGTGGTGGTACCTTCGATATCTCCGTCCTCGAGATCCAGAAGGGTGTCTTCGAGGTCAAGTCTACCAACGGTGACACTCACCTTGGTGGTGAGGATTTCGATATCCACCTCGTCCGCAACATCGTTGCCGAGTTCAAGAAGGAGACCGGTGTCGACCTTACCGGCGACCGTATGGCCATCCAGCGTATCCGTGAGGCCGCCGAGAAGGCCAAGATCGAGCTGTCCTCTTCCCTCCAGACTGAGATCAGGTAAGCATTTCCAATTTTGGAACATTTTAGTAGGCCAGTAACTAATCAGTATTTTTTCGCACAGTCTTCCTTTCATCACTGCCGGCGCCAGCGGTGCTTTGCACATTACCCAGAAGCTGACCCGTTCTCAGCTCGAGGCTCTGGTCGAACCCCTTATCAGCCGTACTACTGAGCCCGTCCGCAAGGCCCTGAAGGATGCCAACCTCCAGTCTGGTGACATTCAGGATATCATCCTGGTCGGTGGTATGACCCGTATGCCCAAGGTCACTGAGTCCGTCAAGGCCCTATTCGGCCGTGAGCCCTCCAAGTCCGTCAACCCTGATGAGGCTGTTGCCATCGGTGCCGCTATCCAGGGTGCCGTCCTGGCTGGTGAGGTCACTGACGTCCTCCTGCTCGATGTCACTCCTCTTTCCCTCGGTATCGAGACCCTCGGCGGTGTCTTCACCCGTCTGATCAACCGCAACACTACCATCCCCACCAAGAAGTCTCAGACCTTCTCCACCGCTGCTGACATGCAGACCGCTGTCGAGATCAAGGTCTACCAGGGTGAGCGTGAGCTCGTCCGTGACAACAAGATGCTGGGCAACTTCCAGCTTGTTGGCATTCCCCCCGCTCACCGCGGTGTCCCCCAAATCGAGGTCACCTTCGACATTGACGCTGACTCCATTGTCCACGTCAACGCCAAGGATAAGTCCACTAACAAGGACCAGTCCATCACCATTGCCTCCGGCTCCGGTCTTTCTGACGCCGAGATCCAGTCCATGGTTGAGGAGTCCGAGAAGTACGCCGAGACTGATAAGGAGCGCAAGGCCGCCATTGAGGCCGCCAACCGCGCCGACAGCGTCCTGAACGATACCGAGAAGGCCCTCAAGGACTTCGAGGACCGTCTTGACAAGGCTGAGGCCGATACCATCAAGGAGAAGATCGCCACTCTCCGTGAGTTCGTTGTCAAGAGCCAGTCCGGCGAGAGCACCACCACTGCTGAGGAGCTCAAGGAGAAGGTCGACGACCTCCAGACTGCCAGCTTGACCCTGTTCGACAAGATGCACAAGGCCAACAACGAGCAGCAGCAGCAGCAGCAGCAGGGTGGTGAGCAGCAGGGTGAGACCAAGCAGTAAATGCTTTTCTCTCTATGATTGCCACGCCTGAACCGCACATGGTGCCTGTATTTTTCTATCTTCCCTTATGTTTTTCCTTTTGTTCAGAGACTCCCTGATTTTTGCATCTCCTTCCTCGCATCTACCTGTACACATACTTTCAAGGCCCTTTTTACCCCTTTGCGTTTTCTGGTGTATCGGTGTTCAATCTACCACACCCATGTATGATCCTATATTCTTTTCTCTTCTGCCCTTGTGTCACTGTTCAGGTTATCGCCTGGGGGTGGTCATCTCGGGGTTGTCTACAATTGTATCTAATGACATTACGGCAGTGGGGCCACAAAAAAGGATGTGGTAGGCTTTGGTTTTCATGGGCATGTGACAATAGAAATCGGACAATTCTCCTCTCGCTTCACAATCATTTTCCAACTGTAGGTCTAGTTGCATCAATGTTATCAACGTGCAGTGCAGACGTAGTTCTCACCTATCTGCGAGTGACACGCGCCGTTGGGACATTTGCTCGCGGATGCAGAGTTGCTTCCGGCTTATTATTAGTTTCCAACTCAACATACATATGCATGTAGGTACTTGACCACAGGCAAACAACACTGCTAGAATCTCTATGCTGCACTCTGCATGTACGCAGATTTATCTGGTTAAAGATGACATAATGAGCGTTATATTAAGACAACACTACGGAGTAACTATGGAGTACGATATCTTTGAATATCTTTCCTCCATGTTTCAGCTACCACAAAAACGATAAAAGAGTATTTCCCACGGAATAATGGATATATACCCTCGGAAATATAACCACCAAAGCAGCAACCAATAAAAGCAACGGCCAAGCTGACCATGATTATTACGATGTACATGGCAGTGACTATTATTGTCCGAAATACACTTTAACGCATTTAATAAGAAGCAGACTACTGGATTCCCAGGATCATGTCCACCGCAAAGTCAAATATCTGGAGCGATGACAACGATGATAGGCCAGAAGCTCGCAGCTGGCGCACGGGTTTCGACCCTTAGTCCCGCCAGAGCGCACACGTTGAACCAGCCACCAGAAACTGTATCGCGTTCCATCGCACCAATCTATTAATCTCCACTTTGGGACCATCGGACTAGGTTTCAAGGGCAGCCCATTTGGTTAGACCAATCGTCTGTACGGGGTATAGTGTCTCATCCTTGCATTATCCACAGAGAATCAAGGCTGATTTATTCACTAGTGAATGATGGGAGCTCGATCGAGAGGGGCGAGGATTGTAAGGATGTGACAGGGGCTATAATAGCTACGATAACATACAACATACATGTACCCTCCGTAAGTAGAAGTAGGTTTCGGCAAGCTTCTATTGTGTCCCTTGTCCTCCCTTAACTTTAACAATGCATGCAGTTCTGACAATTGCCCTTGACATCCATCAACAAAGGAGAAACAATACGAGAAAAGCAACGTCCTGCCACTAGACCAATCTGGACTCGAGTGACAGAACGAAGCAATCGTGCAGTGCAGGCTTCCCTGCAGCAAATCATCGTTGTACACACTTGTTGGGCTGCCACAGTGGGTCTTTCCCAATGACTCTGTTTGTAAATAATTATTTCAATTTCTCATTCTAATCCTCCGAACAATTATATGAGAGGCTTTGTGGGGATTGAAATGCAGGACATTTGAAATAGACAGGGGGGTACTTTTGTCCTCGATTCGGAAGTATATACAACAATAGCTGCTCCTACCGATACTATATCGAATATTGGATATTGGATATTGTATGTACTCCGTCTATACTCCGTAGCACCGATCACCATCGCAAAGTGTAAGATGACTCTTAAATTTTAAATTAAATCTCGGCGCAACTAGAAAAATTTCAAACGCCCACATAACTTCCCCCTCGGCGATTCGTCGATCACTTCTTGTGTGTGAGACCATCTGCGTTAGCGTGCCCCTAGTACGTATGATTATTTCCATTTCCCCACTCGGTTGACAAGCTGTGTTTTTTTTTTTTTTTCTTGTTCTACGGTTCTTGTTTCCCTTTTTTGTTTCCTTTTACTCCGTAGGACTCCATACAAGCTCAGCCCTGGTGTTTGTTGGAGACCCATAACTATAATCAGGAAATAGAAGATAGAACTAGATATGTGGATTTTCCTTGATTTCCAATCCTATTTGTTAAATATTTTGTTATATTTATGTTATATCGTAGGATGTTCTAATTACGGAGTACAGAAAAGACACATAAGAAATTAAATAGATTGCTAGACAATAATATGTGGAGGACACCGAATGGAGATGTAGACGTGAGGATATCCCATATCCAACTCCGTAATTCTTCCCGCTTCTATGGCTACCATGGAACTTCTCAGGAACAAGTTCTCCCCCTGTGTTACATAATGATCGCCAGGATGAGAACAGGGTAGATCTGTTGCTTCTGATTGGACCGTTCATTCCGGAATTAAGGACGGAGTAGGAAAAATTCAATCGTGGAGGCTCTGATTCGAGGCTTTGACTATCGAGTTTAGCTTTTAGGGTCTACGATACATAACTCGCATACTATAATAAGGTAGGTTACGCCTATTTTCTCCGGGGAAAGCTAAGAGAAAAACATAAAACCTGAATTACTGAAATGACCGAATTCTCAATTCCCAATTCCCTAGATATTAGACCAATGACGCTCAGCAGTAATTTTTAGACTTGTCATGTTTACGCTCCCCCTGAAGGAGATGTCAAGTGACTTCCAATTTTGGTCGATGTCGATCATTGGTCCGGTCGATGATAGTCTCCATTCTGATCCAAGGGCTTTGGTGATTGTGATTTGATTACATGCTAGCGTTGTGCCAATTCCATGGATGGGATTTGGTGGGAAATGAATCTTTTGTTTATTTTATACTATACAGTATGGTATACATACTATATTACTATCCTATTTACTATATTTACTATACTCCTATTCAACACTATGATCTATCCGATCAATCACAATCCTCCCCTGAGTCGATCCCTTACGCCGTTACGGGCATTTTCAAGATAACGGGGGTGCAGAAGGGTCGAGTGGAGTCGCTTCTTACTTTCTATTATTATATTATTTGACATATATTATATTATTGTTTTGTTTTGTTTTATTCCCATTTTTCCCATGTCCACTTTATCGGTATAGTTAGCTCAAGGTCTGAATGTCAATCCTTTCCAAACCGTCGACCCATAGATCGGAGATGGGTCTTCCCTTTCGATCCTTGTCTCATCCTGTTTTCTTTTCTTTTTCGACTTCTCTTCCTTTGAACTTCTTCATACTCTCTTCAGCTTTTGGTGCAGGAGGGTTCCAGACTGTATCACCTCTAGCACCTCCCCATCCATAACCATGACCACTGCACCGCCGGTGCATCACTCTGGCCCCGATAGTGGCATCCCCGGCCATCTCGTCAACCATCTCCCTCGCTACCATCCCATTGCCATGAATCCAAATCCACCTCCACACCAGATGCCGCCGCCGGAGCAGATGGTGCAGAGCCACCATTTCCGCCATTTCGCGCCGCCCATGCATGAACATCATCCGCAAGGAATCCCACCAATACACAGTCCAGCTTCCTTGGAACATATCGAAGCTCGACTCCGGCATCTAGAGCACGAGGAAATGGTCCGGAATGCAACCCGGAGTCGCGTCTTGGCAATGCGAAAGCATGAAGATGAGGAATTTCGGTCAATGACGGAGCGAGCCGAGGCAGAAGAAGAGGTAAGCGATTGGGAAATCCATTTGGTGAATTGAGATTCTAAAGCTTCACAGGACCTTCGAAGACAACGGAAAAAGTTAAAGAGAGAGTCCATGGGACTGGGCCTCAATGCCGCGGGCGACTCGCCGCCTCTCCGGCCTACACCACCTCGCCGATTATCAGAGACGAGTGCAGCAACAACATTGGCATTCTTCAAGCAGCAAACACCCCCGAGCCCCGTCAAGAACCCCTTCCACCTTCATCTCAGGCACCGCCTCCCTCAATGCCGCCACCCCATATGCATGCTCAACCTCATCATCAAGCTCCCCCGCCTCCCCCACCATCTCAGCATCAACACCCAATGCTTCCCCACGACTCAATACAAATACACAGCGCTGGCTCCATCCGTCGCAAGCAAAAGTACACTATCAAAAATGTAGAGGCATGGGGCGAACGCCACGGCCGACCAGCCGCCCATGACCCATCCGGGCGAGCGTTGTGGAAGAGACCTTCCGACGGAAGCTTAGTATATCTCACCTGCCCGATCCACGGCTGCGGGAAATCAGACTTCGTCACCCTCCACGGCTTCATGTGCCATCTCACCAAGAAACACAAAGACCGCACTCTGGGCAGCCAATCCCGCGCCCTCGAAGTCTGCGGTGTAGTCTACGACCCGAACGCTCCCCTCCCGCCAGTCATGAACAACCACCGGGCCTCAACAGAAGGCAGTCCCCTGGGCTCCAATCCCCTGGACCCCGACGGCGACCAGCACTACGAGGATATGGACTCGGAGTCCGAAGGCGAGCTCGAGCGCGAGGGCTCCTACCGAGTCAAAACCGAAGTCCTAGATCGGTTCATGCCCGACGCAGAGGGCACTCCCATCGAACCCGCTGCGGCAACACCCCCAAGCACGCAGCCAATGGATCAACCAAGCAGTCCATCTCGTCCATCATCGACCGCACCCCCGAAACAGAATCCAGAGAGGCGCTGGCGACCCTTCCGCCGTCAGAATCCGGTATCCAGGGTCCGTCCCCTACATCCACCGAGTCGTCTGTGCCCTCGAAGCGCAAGTACGAATTCTCGCCGCCGGCGGAAAAAGAAAATGCGGAGCCTTAGACGGTGTGCGGAATAATGTTTATCTTCAATGTCGATTTCCGCCGGCAATACATACATACACCTACATAATTTCTTGAGCGTCTACGAATATCAGCGCTGTCGATATGATAATCTATTGCATCATGCTCTTGTATTTCTTGTGTCGGTTAGATGGTGCTTCGCGCTGTCTTTTCTCGATGCCCTTTCGTTATATATGGGTTGGTTTTGGCGTCTTCTATTTTATTTGAACATACTGGCTTGACGCTGCGCGCATTACCATGTAATGCTTCATAGCTGACTGCATACTGCATACTGAGCATTTCGGAGTTTATCCATGCATCTCTTGTGAACTTGCCGTGAATCCACAGCCGCTGGGGGTACAAAATCAGGAGATTATGAGAGCATTGGCTACTGGAGAGTGCTGTTCGGGTCTTCTGCTGCTGTAAATAAAACTGTCTCGAGATATCGGTAACTCCTTGCTATGTATATAGTACACACTCACAAGCACAAACAAATCAAGCACCTGTTGATAACACCCGCAAGCTTCATTGGTGGTCTGGGGTATGTTCAGTAGTTCGTGGATCTCATCTGTGTCAGAGGTAGGTCTGAAATCCAGACTCATATTCATGTTAGTCCGAGTACTCTTCAAAACCCCTCAAGTTTAGAATTCGTTGCTCTGAACAATCTGCCTAGTTATGGCCATCTGTATATTGTATCTGATTTTAGTATGGGAGAGCCTCAGCCTAAGTTAGCTTTATACAGTACCTAAACATCATGTCTACCCAAGATAGGTATGAACAAAGCCACCCATATGTACTTCTAATATATCTACAGCTGTACTTTTCTATTTCACCAACAACAAATGCACCAAATATCCAGACCCACTCCTCAATCCCTCCCCAAGCACACCATCCCCCAACCTCCAAACCCGAAACTCCCGCATCGCCTCCCTGAGCCAAGTCTCAAACACATCCGGCGACCGCTGCTGCTGCGCAATAATACAAACCGTCGGTCTGCGGCGCGAGCTCAGTTCCCCAGAATCAGCCACATACGCCGGCCGGAGTCGACATATCTCCGCGCAGGTGCGCACGAACGGCGCCACGAGTGCTTCGTTGTAGATGCAGTCACAGGAAAGCAGGAGGTCGAAGCCTTTATCCTCCTCTCCTTCTTCTTCTTCCTCGCCGTGAGTCTCGTCGAGATCCATACATTCTTTCAGTGAGGCGGCCTGGTCGGTCTCCCAGTCCAGGGTTGTGAAGGAGATATTAGTGACAGGTTTGGCGGTCGAGCCTGGTTTTGATTTTGATTTTGATCCCTTGCTCTTGCTTTTTGCTTTGCTGTTGTTGGTGCTAGAGACAGGGACGGACGCATTAGCGTCGAGATTCGTGCGGAACAACTTGCGCACGTATTCCTGGTCTGTGGCGATGTAGTGGCGCACGGAGGGGGCTAGTACGAGCGCGACTAGTGCGGAGATGCCGGTGCCGAGTTCGGCTACTGTTGAGGTCTGGCTGAGGAGGGCGGTTGTCCAGAGCGGGTTTGAGGGGTTGGTTATCCATTCTGCGAATAGGGGGGTGATTTTCCATAGGACTGGGTTTGTAGGGTTAGTATTGGTTTAATTTCGGGATGGATGATAGTGAATCGTGATGGTTGTGGATCAGTCGGGAAGTCGCCAAGGTATCCCGAGGTCTGAGCAAGGGAAAAAAAAGGGTCGAGGCCAAGGCATAGCAGGGCAGGTGACAATTACACTATGAACCTCGTGTTTGGGGTAGAAAAGCACATAGTGTGACAGTCACCCTCCCCGAGAGCCGAGGCACAGACAATCATCGGATTGGACAATTCGACGCCTCGACCCTCGGCCTGGTCTGGGCATCGGACTCGGGTAAATGACCTGCGGAGTACGGAGTAGTCCGTGCTTGGGTTTGCTGGCTCTGGGGATTCCGGGGACAAATCATAGAAGAACTGGTGTAGATCATGCGAGCTCCTGTCTTGGTGTACCGGAGTCCGTACTTAGTACTTACCGGCGCCTGTAGTTCCCCCCGCGCGATGGGAGGAGAGTAATGCTGGTGATTGATGAATTATGTATTCATGATCATTGATGGAGATTTCTACTGATGGTGCACGGGGATTGAGCATCCCCAGGTTGTTGCTGGGGATGTCCTGCGCGAAGAGGAGAAATGACTCTATAGTAAGTTTAGTGAGTGACTGGGTAGGTTTGGGGTATCGTATTCGGTGGCGTACCCTCATCCACGTCAATGACCTCTTCATTGGCGAGTAAGTTGATGAGTTGGTCCATGAGATGATATCTATGGATGTTATATGGATGTTCTAATGTTTTTATGGAACTTTTATGGGTTGGGTTGCACGTTAAGGGATCACGGGACCAAGGCATATAAATTGGACATTGGACACGAAATATTCCCAGAATACAATATTTATGCCAATCCCAGTGCTTCTACACTTCGTATAAGAGCTATGACTTGTGAAGAATTGTTGGGAAACCCAACAGAAAGGGGAAACGGGACCTGACTGAATAGTAACTTAGCGCTTATTTATGCAATTTCGACTTATCCATAACAAAGGCTTAATTTCAAGAAGGAATCAACTGAAACATATTAAAAAAAAACAAGACTCCGTGCGTGGTGAAAGTCCCAAAGTCCCAAAGTCGAATATCAACCCGAAAACCTTGGACCTCCTGCGTCATTTGCCGACCAGCCACATATCCAACCTGCCAGGGCCCAACTTTCTCCTCTTCTCCGGTGAATGCTCAGTTCATATCTCATCTTAATACCCCATTTTCTTTCTTGACTTGGTAAGTTTCTATTCCAACTCCTGCTTTACCCCGTGGCTTGTTACAGCTCGTGTGCTTTGCCCCTTCCTAGCTCCGTGCTATTCCCGCACTAGCTAACCGCCGTCCCCATCGCGTAGAAGATCTTTTTCTTTAAATATCCTCGATACCCGGCCCCTTCCGCTTTCCCTTTGAGCGAGAAACACAGTCAACATGGCGACGCAAAACATTCACCTCCAGCCGCGCATGGTCAAGAAGGGCCCTTTCTCAATCGAGGCGCCCGGATATGAGCCCGTCCCCGGTGAGACAATCCCACGTCGACACCCCAAGGCCAAGAACGGCCTCATTACGACCCTCGAGGATGTCTCTACCACTTATGAGAATATGCGCCGGTCTGCTCGCGTCTTTGGCAACGCCAAAGCTGTCGGCACTCGCCGGCTCATCAAGACCCACGTGGAGAACAAGAAGGTCAAGAAGATCGTGGATGGTGTTGAGCAGGAGGTCGACAAGAAGTGGACTTATTTTGAAATGAGTGGTTATACCTACAAGAGCTTCCTCGAATATGAGAAGCTGTGTCTGGAGCTTGGTTGCGGTCTCCGTAAGCTGGGCTTCGAGAAGGAGGGCAGAATCCACCTTTACGGTGCGACGAGGTAAGAGACATTGCGCCCCCAAAGAGATTCGGAGCCAGATGACTGACTTGATTGTTCTTATAGCGCACACTGGCTGGCCATGTCGCACGGTTCGTTAACCCTATCTCCATGACGCGAACAAACCCACTAACCTACTACAGGTGCTGCATCTCAGTCCGTGACCATTGTAACCGCGTATGATACCCTAGGCGAGGAAGGCCTAAAGCACTCTATCGTTCAAACCGGTAGCACTGCCATCTTCCTCGACCCCAGCCTTCTGAAGTCGCTTATCGACATCCTCCGGAGCGTGCCCTCAATCAAGCACATTATCTACAACACCGACACGGAAATCGACCAGAAGATTCTTGATCAGTTACACAGCGAGTTTATCCACATCAATGTGCTGAGCATCGAGGACTTGCGTAAGCAGGGCGAGGAGAACCCCGTGGAGCCTGTTCCCCCTAAGCCGGAGGACCTGTGCTGCATAATGTACACCTCGGGCACAACAGGCGCACCGAAGGGCGTGCCATTGACACACGCCAACGTGATCGCTGCCAGTAAGCTAGAAAGAACCCTCCGAACTGTCCATTAAGCTAATATCTCGCAATAGCTGCTGGTGTCCACACCGTCATCGGTCCCTGTATCAACCACACGGACTCCCTCCTGACCTATCTTCCCCAATCGCACATTCTGGAATTCATGTTCGAGAACCTGTGCTTGTTCTGGGGTGGTACCATGGGATACGGTAACCCCCGAACGTTGTCCGACGCCTCTATGTGGAAGTGCCTGGGCGATATCAAGGAATTCAAGCCTACCGTTCTGGTCGGTGTACCGGCCGTGTGGGAGTCAGTGAAAAAGGGTGTCTTGGCCAATCTAAACAAGGCCAGTTTCGTGGTCAGGGGTATGTTCTGGGGTGCCATGTCAGCCAAGAGTTTCCTCATGTCCACCGGCATCCCTGGCTCAAACCTGGGCGCCTCAATTTTGGACGCCGTTGTCTTCAAAAAGCTAAAGGAGGCAACCGGGGGCCGACTCCGTGTCATCATGAACGGTGGTGGCCCCGTCTCCAAGGAGACCCAGGTGTTCTTGTCCATGGCCATCGCCCCCATGGTTAGCGGTTACGGTCTAACCGAAACCTCTGCCATGGGTGCCCTGAACGACCCCTTGGCCTGGAACCCCAATGCTTTGGGTGAAATTCCCGCCTCGATCGAGGTCAAGCTTGTTGACTTCCCCGATGCTGGATACCTGGCCTCGAACCACCCCCCTCAGGGCGAGATTTTCATCCGCGGTGGCAGTGTGACCAAGGGCTACTTCCAAAACGAGGAGGAGACCAAGGCTGCGATCAATAAGGATGGCTGGTTCATGACCGGTGACATTGGCGAGTTCGACCCCAACGGCCACCTGAAGATCATTGACCGCAAGAAGAACTTGGTCAAGACCCTGAACGGTGAATACATCGCTCTGGAGAAGCTAGAGTCTGTCTACCGCTCGTCTCCCGTGGTTGGCAACATCTGTGTCTACGCCGCTGAGGACCAAGACAAGCCCATCGCTATCATTGTCCCCGTCGAGGCGGCACTGAAGAAGATTGCCCACGAGAACGGCATCGAGGGTGACACCATCGAGACCCTCGTTCACAACGAAAAGCTCAAGACGATCGTCTTGCACGAGCTGCAGTCCGCCGGCCGCGCAGGTGGCTTGAAGGGCATTGAGATTATTAACGGTATCGTGCTATCCGACGACGAGTGGACTCCGCAAAACGTAAGTGATTCTCAAGCTATCTGGAGCACGAACTCTGCTAACGAGACATTAGGGTTTTATGACCGCTGCGCAAAAGCTCCAGCGCAAGAAGATCGTTGCCCGCTACGAGTCCGACATCAACAGGGCCTACGGCAAGAAATAAAAGCGTGTCAAGGTGCTTCATTCACTGATTTCCTCGCTTCGCCCTTGTGTTTTTTATTTCTATTTTATTTCCCTGCTGTATTGCTTGCGCTTTGAGACCCTCTCTGTTATTTTCACTGTTCAATTTACGATTACCTTCTCGACTCTTGCTCTTATTGATATTCTGCCACGATGAAAATGATATAATAATCAATGTGGGCATGAAATGATCGGCATCGCGAGGACTTGGTCTATCGTAAATTCGTAATCGACATATGGGCCTCGTATTCTATCGAAATACTTTTTGATTGGCCATGGACCCATTTCTCGCACCCCCGGAAGAGGTTTTAGTCTAAGAATGCCTTCGATGCTTCGTTTACCCAGCCAGCTATCATACATCCAGCTAGTCTATCATATACAGAGAGGTACAAGTATGTACGGAGTGGCAGTGCTTTGTCCGAAGTATCCCGGTACCTCATTTATCAGCCACAGTTACACCACCCCCCCAGCAATTCACAAGTATCCGGGGTTGTCCATGTACCTGGCAGGACTTAGCGGCAGACAAGTAGACACACGTTCGAACCCGTCGTACTGGTACGAATTGAAGTATATAGAGTTTGTCGGAGAACGCAGGGTCGGCATACCAGAGAATACCGGAGGATCTATTAATCCTAACAATGTGGTAACGTAATTCACAAGCGAGCGGCCACCACAAGCGAGTGGCCATCTCCAAAACACATAGTAAATGTGATAAATTACAACTTGATATCTCAACAACGGTAGTCTATAGGGACTTGTCTTTGTAGCATAGTGCTTTATATATGATATCTAGCATATCTAGGGAGCTTCAGGAAAATTAATGACTTTATAACTGCGATATATATATTTCTAGCTTTTAGGAACGTAATTTTCGGTAATTTTCGAAATGGTAGTAAGATAGTATTCTACTCTCTTTGAAATTGATATATAGTACTGATGAGTCTTATCAATAACTATCGATAAACGGGGAGAAAGGATGAGCATATGGTTGTTGAGATATAAATGTGGAATATGTTGCATTTACTATGTGTTTTGGAGATGGCCACTCGCTTGTGGTGGCCGCTCGCTTGTGAATTACGTTAGTTATTGTTTATTTTAGTTTATGTAATCAGGCTCCATAAATTGCCAGTTGAGCCAGTACAGAAATACAGAAATACAGACTGATTGAAATCCATTGATTGGACCTATATTTTACGGAAACGGATTAGCCGACAGAGTTCGCTAGCCTCAGGTACCAACCAATCCCGTGACCGAAAGTGTAGATATCTCCACGTGACTCTCTGCCCGTTAAGCAGCAAGTTGAAAGTCAAGTCACACATTGCCCCCATTGTCACTTCCCTCCAAGACTAGAATAATCTCCTTCCCAGTCCAAATGTCTCTCTGGAGGTACGTGATACAGCTCTAAACCGACCAACCCCGGCACACACTAACACCCGGACTACCGAGGCAAGAAAGAAAGTCAAGAAACTAACAAGCTTCACAGCTCCTACCGCGGCCTCGCCCCCAAAACCCGGGCCCTGTTCGGTATCGGTCTCATGGCCTGGGCAGGCATCGGAATCTGGACCACGCCCCAGGTAGAAAACGCATTGGGCATGCAACCTACGAAAGAAGAGCAGGATGCGCTGGATCGGAAGCTGGCGGTGCGCGTGGTGCGTATCGGAGGGGAGGAAGGGGAGATATCGGATACTCGAGCAAACTGAGCAATTGAGGAATTCGACGAAGACAAGGCGCGGGAATGGACTCTGGGAGCTCATGTGATTAGCCCATGGGCTGGTGATGGCGATGGGCTACCGGGTGTGCTTTGTGGTCGGCTGTGATTATCTACGGGAGTCATGGGTGCAGTCTCACGGAACCACGGACTTGAACGCGACTGGTCAGGAAAGGGAGAGGAGGGAAGTGAAGCCAGTCCGTTGCAGACTGCCGGGCTGGTATGGAAGGAAGTCTTTCCCTGGGATATTTTGTTGAGTCAACCTTCCTCCAGAAACTCAATTGCAATTGCTGCATTGCTGCAATTCGCTGCGCCCGTGTCCGTGCCAGACATCTAAACATTCAACTGCCTATCTACATACCGCCCCTCTATCCATTCCCCCAACGCATCGGGACTCCGGGATTCAAAAGAGGGCCCGGTTCGGAGCCGGAAGGTCACTTACTACATACCTACACTGGAAAGCGGTCATAGCGACCAGTCTGCCACTGTTTGCCTTGTCTTCGCGTCCCGCCAAGACAAAAAAGAAAAACAAGCAAACGGTCAGTGGTCCGTGGCCAGTGGCTGACGCCCCCGTTCTCTGTGTCCGACAGACTTGATCTGCGCGTGCACGTCCCTATCGGAAAGACCACAGGGAATGGCCTGATCATTCCGGCTTTACCCTGTCTTTGCCCATGCCCACGCCCACGCCTGTCCGTGCGGCTGCAACGACCCCGGCTTCCACCGCCCTGTTCGCAGCGCAGGGAAGTATTGGGTTGCTGCAGTCAGCGGCCGTCTTTCCCCGCCTAGCCTCACCTCGCGGACGTTTTATTATTTCCTTTCTGGGGCATTGGTTGGGTATTCCTGTGGCTCGGAAGATTTACTGCGGCTGAGAGGGTGGATCGTTGCTTAGCCTGGCCCGGATCGTGACATGTTGGTTCTTGTGGCGAGGGGCCAATTAGCGGTCGATTTTAATTTCCGACCTTTCTCTTTTGTCCGATTGGGAAAGTGATGCGAGGGGCAGTTGGTCTGGTTGGGATTGGGCTTTGCTACTGATTGTTTGTTTGAGATGTTGGGATGTCCTTTTCTATATTTTGGTCATGGGGTTAGTTCGTGGGTTATTTGGAATATGCGTGTCTAGGTTAGCCTCTACTCTATTTATCGAATACTTGTCGCATTGCCTAGATGGGACGTCTTAGGGCCATATTATCCCAAGCAATGTGAAACAATCTTATCAAAACACCTATATCATAAGAATCTTAAAGCAAGAAACCTCATATCGACAATCGTAGTGCGGCTCCAAAGTATTGTTTCGGAACTTAGTTCTATGATATCATTCATATTGTAGCACGAGGGACCCCTTTACCCTTAGAAGACATCTTGTGCACCCCAAAGATCGACGCTCATCAATCGGGGTAACCGGGATTCGATCCATATGGACTCTTCGTCATGCCAGTCTCGATAGATTGTTTCCACCTTTATTCTATTCATAGATGCCATGATCTCATCCAAACTCGTAGTTAGCTCCCCGAGAAAGCTATTTTCAAAACATTACCTCGGATCTACAGAGCGGTCATGTGTTATGTCGGGTAGGACAAGACTAGCACCATGCTCTGGAGGCCGTTGAGGTGGAACACGACCATGCTCCTTGGATGGCTGATAGCAGGTAAACACTTTAGCTGATCCATAGCTCCATCTGGAAGGAATAACCAGGTACGTTCGAACATACGTGGAAGCTAGCTTCCTAGCTCGCAATGCGTCCAAGACAAGCGGCGAGAGTTTGTATTAGAGCAGCTGTGGCATGGACAGGGTTTATTCCTAGTGCAGTAGCAAAATCGATCGCGGAGAGGTTCATGCAGAGATATCACTGTCCATGACTCCATATCCTGTCCCTTAGGCAGCAGAGACAGATATCTTACCAGGCTAATTGGGCTAAATATCAAGTCTTTAGACGGATTGTCTTCTGGGCGTCTTGGCTCGATCTCGGATAGGGTTGATCATCGTCGTACTGACAACCCGGTCTCCTTTCATTCAGGCTTGTGCCTTGCCGCTATAGAACATAGTCTCCTTGCTTTTACCCTTGAGCTTTAAATGCAGTTCCCGGGATTTGTTGACATTTTTTTATTGGTTAGTGCTTTCTGCATTGGATATTTCATGATAGTAGACTACGGCCGATCTCGCATGGAGATATGGACTCTATGCTAATCCTGCGATGTCTGATCTTCAGAGGATTGTAGGAGCAGGAGTCGCCAGAATAACAATGTAACCTACTTGACTGTGACGATAGCCGTTGTGAGTAATAAAGCAGAGACCTTTTAGATCAATAAGATCAAAAGATGTAGATAAGGGCACATATACTCCGTACTGTAAAGTGGAAATACCATGAAGTATGAAATAGTGGCAACATACCAGGATATCAAAATGCCCAGCCCGACCAAAGACCAAATTAGGAGTGTCAACTCAAGATGTCGAATAAGAACCCCAAGCGCCTAGGATTGCCCTTTTGTCTGACTCCCCTTGTACGACGTGCAGAAGTACCTATCCAACCGGTTCTGAGTAAACAACCAATGATATTAGACCTACCCCAAGTATCCGAGCGTTTTTCTTAGGAAGAATACAAAAGATTCATTTATTCCCTTCGGAATGGGATACATATGCTCTTCCGTGGCAAAAACGGTATATACCAACGAGATTTAGAACAAAAGCTAGATTTGAACCCAATTGTTTCAGATAAAGTCAAAAATAGTCTGATTCTAACAAGAAACCTTTCTCTGATCCACATACTATATCTCTCAAATCTCTTACCGCATGCGGATGTAAGGTTCCTCCCCCGGCCTTCACAGGGGATGATATTGACAAGGATCCGAGTGTTTAAAACATCGGAATATGCCGAGGTGCAGCGAGGCTTGGCTGATACGAGGATTTTTCTCATTTGGATAATTTAACTTGAGACAATGAGCAGGTTTAATTGGAGAGATTGGATCTTTTACTTTCGCATACCGTCGAATTGATGGTCGCACCAACGCCTTGTCTTGTTTCACCTGATATACTTAGATCGAGATAATCGGATGTTGAATTTATAGCTAATAGCTAAACAGGGCTAAGCTGACATGTACGTACATTGTCATGAAGTATGACCTGCACTGTTGTCGATCAGGATCTGCATCTAATGATTTCTTACATTTAATAATACTTTTAAAGTAAAATCTTTTATACTACCTTGCTATAAGACAATCTCTGCTGCCTAAGAAAGCAAAACCCAGCCCTCTCAGAACTCTACAAACAGACTGCTCCTCAACTCTCCAATTGGCTCTAAACACCATGATCCATTCTGCATGTAACCGTTTCTCTCGGAATATCTGCATGTACACCGTCCACGACGGAAATAGTACCCACCTTGCTTCCTTTGGTTTTCAAGACCGGAGCCTCCCCAAAAAGCAAAAGCAAAGGAAGTGGGAATTAAGTAAAAAAGAACTAGTAATAGCGCCACAATAAGCCCTTTAATCTTGCATGGCCTTTTAATGAACTCGACCCAATCATTCCCTCATTCCCGCAGGCAAAATCCATGTTTGCTTACTTCGGCGGGCGTCAGTCTATATAGTCATCAGACACGAAAAAAGAGTCCTGGAAGCAAAGTACCGTAGGTCCTTGCTTCATGTTTGATTGGATAGTTGGGAGAGGCGAGAAAAATAAAACAAGTCAAACAAAGCAGCAAACAACAAAATAAAATGCGGCAAAAAAGGCAAAAGCATCAAGGCAGAGACCGCATAAGTCCATATCCATTGAAAACCGGACTGGCAGCCCTGTAATAGATGAAGACTAGGACCAGGACCGCAGCAAATAACGGTTCCTGGCTATGAAGAGAGCAAATCGGGGAGTTTAGGGGTACGCCTTTAATGTTTGTTTTCGAAGATTTGTGTTTCGATGTGAGGTTGTACTATACCTGGCTTTGTTATGATATTGTCTTTGTACCAATACCTAGACAATGCTAATTCAACTATTATTATTGGAATACTATAATATCAAGTCCAGATCTTAACCAAATCGGTTCTATTCGCTAGCATATTCCGTCATTTGCTTTTGAAGACAGTCTTAATGGCATTCTGTATGCTTTTTTTCCGAGGCAGACACATGAAATGAGACAGTATCTCGAGTAGAATTGGAGCGAATCAAAAGAGATAACGAATAGATCACAATGAAATAAACAAAGGCCACTGAGTCCACTAGCAATCAGATGATAGAAATAATAAAATAAAACAACGAATAGAAATGGCCTCATGATCCCCCACGCCGTCCTGCACCAGTGCATAACCCCTTTCCCATTTGGTCGTATCGAGCATGATAAAAAGATAAAACACGAAAAGAAACAGAGATAATTCAGAAACCAGGGGCAAAACAAAGGCACAGCCTAAGTGCATAGACTATGCGAATTCTGGATCGGATCGTAACGGCTATAATTCGTTGAGTAGACGGGGTCGTATCCACCAGTATTAGACTGGCGATGTTGGTGGGGAACCCCTGTGTAGGTATTATCCTGATATGGATCTGATTTGAGGTAAAGGTCGGACTTGATTGTGTCCATGGGGTCCATAGTATCAATCATTGAGTACTCGAATCCAGAAGAAGACGAAGAGGAGATGAGAGGACTGTCGCTGAGAGGGGAGTGGTCTGTAACGTTAATTTTCCGATGATCGGATCTGCCGTAAGAAAGACCATTTCGATGCGACGTGTCGTACATGAGCATGTGGGAACGACCCGTTTGGCCCAGCCCATGAGGAATGACACCACAAGTGTTGTCTCCGCCAGCCCCATCCGGACCCATACTACCAGTACTGCCACGGCGTCCGTCCTTGTAGTGACCGGGTGAACGTCCGCGGACGACCAGGGGGTGGGAGTGGCGCCGGGCGATCTGTACCCACTCAGTTTCACCTGGGACCGAGCTAGCAACCTCAGCGTACAGTTCAACGACCAGATTGTAATATTGTTGCTGGGCACGGCGCTTGCCATTGTTGGCGGTCGCTTTCTGGAATTGAATACGTTCGAATACGTGGGACGTTGGAGGCTGGCATGGCTGAGGTGTCCCCGCGAAAGAAGGGTTGTAGTCCATAGATTGCGAGCCAAGGGGGAATCCCGAGAGACTTCCATTAACCGTTGAGGTTGATGTGAATGAAGATGGAGGTGCAGGCTGAAGAACGACACGACCTGGTTTGCGTTCGGATTGCTTGTCTCGCTTTGGGGTGTGTTGAACAAGTTCTCGAGTTTCTCCATATTGACCGTTCACGATAGCAGAAATGGCCATTGAAAATCCACGGATTGGTTCAAGGGTCTGGTCAGGATAGCGGATGTATAGAGGGGCATTGG